TTCCTTCCTTCCTTCCTTCCTTCCTTCCTTCTTCCTCTCTCCCTCTCTCTTTCTCTCTCTGTCTTTCTCTCATACTGGAAATCAAACTTAGGACCTTGTGCTTGCCAGGTAGACACTTGTGGTAGTGAGCTTTTATTTTATCTCCCACTTTAATTTATCAGTATTTTTATGATAGAAATCTACACATGCTTTTGACAATAGAATGTTCTAAATGTTCAATTTTATAGAATTATTTTAAAAGGGAAAAGAATATATGAAACATTTTTAATTTTAAAAAGGGATTAATGTCATGTTTTTCAAAGGATTGTGATTAATGTCTTTGAAATAAGATTCAAGGAATAAAAGCCTCTTCAGTCATATGTGAAATTATGCAACAAAACAACTTTGTGAAATTCTGCTACTATCTAATCAAACCTTTGCAATTAACAACTCTGGATACATTATATTGAAAACCTACCTGAAGATACTGGAGTATAACCAAAAATAGTCTAAAACTGGAAGGGGAATCAATCTAGGATTGGACAAAAGGATTGACAGTAGGGTCCTTGTGCTTTTAACATTTTTAGCTTGAAGACATGACTTGTTCAGCTCCACTCAGGATGACTGAACCTTGGGTTAAAATATACAGTCTTCACAAGTTGAAAAACTCCAGGACAGGGTTCAGGGCACCCATAGGGGCTGGAAAATAAGGAACAATATCTAAAAATTGAGAAGGCAGTGTCTCAGTTACTTTTTCTTCATTGCTGGAACAGAATACCTGACACCCAAAATTAGGAAGGAAAGGTTTATTTAGCTCACAATTGATGGGTGTTTCAGTCAGTACTCCACTGTCTTCAAGGAAGAGTGGCATGTGGTAGAGGGCAGCTATTCATGGCAATGGAAAATAGCAAAGAATAAAGGGAGGAGCAGCGGCTGCAGCAGCTAGCAAGTCTCTCTCTTGCTTATATTGTATGTGGATTACCTTTGTGAGGTGCAGTACTCACACCCATAATCCCATATTGGATCATGAATTACAAACTATAGAAGCTGCCCCCGTGACTGCATGAGGCTCGGGGGGGGGGGGACAACTAGACACAAACCATAACAGATAGTGAAGGGGAACTGTAAGAGTCTATTACAATATAAATTAACATAAATGAAATTGGATTTCCAGGAAGAGAAGGAAAAAATTTAGCATAAAAATTATTGAAAAAATTATAGTAGAAAATTTCTCAACATTGATGAAAGACAAAAACTAACAGATTACAATATCTTTCTAAATTTGTTATTGATCCATGAATTATACATACATAGACCACAGACCAGGCCCCATGAAGCCCAGCTAAATAAATAAGGACTAAATAAAAATGCTGATTGTCTAGCTAAAGAAAGCCAAGTTTTCAGTTATAATCCAATTAAGTTAATTGCCTGCCAAGCCTACACTTGATACGAACAAAGCAGAATGCAGACTTGTTATATTGTATTATTTATAATGTACAGAAAATAATTAAAATTGCTAGAAACATGAATAAATGGGAAATTAAGACCCATCTTAGGGGAAAAAGGCAATCATTAGAGAAATTACCCGGGTATTAGGTTAGCAGACAAGGAATTAAAAGTATTATTAGGGCTAGGGAGATGGCTCAGTGGAATAAGTGCTTGCCTGGCAGGCGTAAGGGCCTGAGTTCAATCCCCAGTTCCACCAAAAAAAAAAAAAAAAGTTATTATAACGTGCTTAAGGAAGTAAAGATTAATGCATTTTTAATGACAGTCAACAAATTTCAGCAGACCCTAAATTCTTAAACTAAAGATGACCAAAATTCTTGTAATACATGTGAAAACTGTAACATGAGGGAAAGGAGAATGAAAAACAGATTTAAATTGTCTTGACATTCTTAGGTTTCATTGGGAGTGGAAATATTAGTTCTAAGTCAACAATGAAGAGTTAAAGATGTGAAATATATCCCTTAATTTACTTCCCCGCAACAGAAAAAGGCTTTTGCTGATACTGAAGTACAAATTAAAATGTCATTCCAGTAGTCTTAAATTTACTAAAATGTAGGTAATAAAAGAGTGATAGAGGAATAAAAAATAGCATGGTAGAAAGGAAAAATAGTCAATGTAGACACAAATTAACCCGTATCGATATATACATTAAACCAATCTAAAATGTCTCCCTAGGATTGGGGATATAGCTCCGCAACACAGCACCTACCTCAAAATCACAAGGTCTCAAGTTTGACATCCTGGGACCAGAAAAATAAAAAGTGTCTCTAAAGTTCCTTGAAGATGAGGCATGGTTGTAAGGGACATGTCATGGGAGGCATGACTTGGAAGGATGACTTCTCCTTCTCTCTATGCTTCTTAGATGCCATGCAGTTTTCCTCTGCCATTCCCATCTACCATGCCATGCATGCCTTTGAAGTAGCTGACCATGGACTATATCTACTGAAACTGTGAGCCACAGTGAACCTCTTTTTTAAATTGTGAGTATCAGGTAATACTTCAGTAAAGACTAGACTCAGAATATGTTATTTGTGTTATGATTTATGTTTAGATATCGCTTAAAACCTTCTTGCACTCATAGGTGGAGCTATGGGGAGGTTATTGGACTATAGAAGTGTGATACATATTGGTGGTTAAGTCCACTGATTAGTTTACAGCTAAATGTGATGTTGGGAGGTAAGCATTATAGAGAGGAGGGGTGACACTAGGAGATGGCCTGCAAGGGTGTATTTCCCACCTTCTTCTTTGATCTCTCCTCTTGGTTTCCCACTGCCAGTGATGAGTTGTTTTTCCTCTGCTATGCAGCCCTTCCTTAGAGCTTGTTGACTGTGGATGGCAACCTCTAAACTGAAAGCCAAACTAAATCTTCCCTCCTTTAAATTATGTTTTTTGTGTATTGAGTTCCAGCAACCAGAAAGTAGCTAAGACAATTTGGGAACAAAGACTCCACTGGACTAAAGACCATGTGTGTTATGCTCCAAAAGAAATCTTATCTACCTTTTACCAGTGTCCTGACAATTTGTAGGAGAGTGAGATTTAGGGGAGCAGATAAGTAATCTGATGGAAGAAATTTTAAGCCACCTAATGTTCAATCTGTGGAATATATACTGTTGGCTGCTTTTAGCAAGATATACAGTAAAAATCAGGAGCAAATAATGAAGTTGAATGGCTTGAAAAGTTTGCATTTTCTCCAGAAAGGAAGTACCTGCAAAGTTGAGGCAAAGGAAACCATGGCTGCTGAAAGTAAAAGCATTAAAATGAAGCCAAGTGTTTTGTACACAGGCAAAAAAGGATCCTTGAGGGCACTTCAGAAATTGACAAGATCCCCATGCATGGCTGACTCAATATTGCAAAACTGTAAATCCTTCATTGGAAAAGAAAACTTCTGTTATATTTGGTCATTCAGGGCTACCTAAAGAAGTATATTCTTGAGTTCAGCTCTCCAGGTTCTCAGAGGCCCCTGCTGCTGTGGTGCAAGGGGCCCTACTTACTATTCAATGCTGGTGACCAACCTTAACATCACACATATACTGCTGGCTTATCAGGCATAAATGAAAGTTTTATGAGGACACGGGCTTCTACACTGATTTCAGGAAGTCAGGCAAAAATTGTGTGACAGGGTTGCCATAGAAGCCCATGAGAAAGCACCACACAATACCTGAGTAGTGTTGAAAAGGCAGAATATGTAGCTGAAGACATTTCTGAAGTCATCATTATTAATTAGCATAAAGTATGCAAATATCCAGGTAATGCCAAAAATGACTGCAATGGATAATGTGCTAAGAATTTTCTTTAGAGTTGAAGTCTTTTTTGTGCTAAATGAGAGAAAACAAGAAAGAAATTGTGGTTTATTAGATTTTTTATTAATGTCATTATTATCCCTGCTTATCATACATTAACTACTCATATACACTGCTCATTTAACAATACTACTATTATGGACTACTGGACTATATTGGATTATTTTGCTGAATTCACACACTTACCATATTTTAATGGCAATGGAATACCTATCTCTGACAAATCTAAACAAAAAAGGGGATATAGATGAAGGACCGTTTTGTATCTGTATATACAAAATAGGATAGATATACAGCTATTTCTCTTAATTCAATGAGAAGAAAGATTTGTACTAATAGTGTTTGGACAGAATATCCATGTCTGCATCTTGTACTATGAATAACCACTATGAAGACAACAATATGCAACGTATTAACTATTGAAACTGTCCTACTAAGCGGTTTTGAAACTGTCTTATTGCTATTTGTTTCTCAAAAAAATTAATTAAAAAAAAACTATGCCTAAGAGATAAAAACACTGATACTAGACCTTAGGTCACTAGCACACCTAATACCTTGTAATTTTTACTTTTTATTTTAAAAAAAATTTTTTTAAAGACTATTGGGGCTGGTGAGATGGCTCAGTGGTCTAAGGCACCTACACTTAGAACAAGTTTAGCAAAGCACAGGGACAGCGGTTCAATCCCCCAGCACCACATGCCAGCCAACCCCACCCCCTGGTGGGCTGAGCTGGCCACACACACACACACACACACACACACACACAAATAAATAAATAAAATTTTGGAAAAAAAGACTATTAAAATAATAGATAAGACATTAAAGATGGTACACATTTAGAAAAACAAGATGAACTCAATCATGATTGTTACATTGCACATTGCTGTCCTTAAATTGATTTAGTGAAATGAAGAGTTAATGTTTAATTGCTTAATCAATCTGGCATGTCTATATCTGCTAATCTGAGCAACAAATTTGATGATAACAATGTGTAATTTAACAACAATTGTTAAATTTTTTATTCTTGTTTTGAAATTCTGTACCATTTTTATTTTTCTATGTTGCTTTGTTTTTGTCTTTGTTCTTGTTATTTGTTTTTTTTCTCTTAAAAATAGAAATACCTAATACCTATTTATAAGCTCTGGCAAACACAATTCCTTAAATACTACTGTAAGCAAATTTTACTAAGAAGCAAAGTTCATTGGAATGTAATTTTATTATGTATATAGTACTATAAGACAGACTTGTTTGGAATTCTACTTTGGTGGTATCTGTGACCTGTCAATGCCTCAGGTTTATATGTAAAAGAGAGATTATTTAGACTTGGAATATTCTTCCCTCTAACGGGAAGTCTTACACCTGGCATTTCATTTTTTGCCACTTGACTTTGGCCAGCAAGAAGTAACACACACAGGGATTTGAAACAGTTTGCTCATGAAAGTTTGTCTTTTCTTACTGCCCTTCAGAATCCCGAGACCATTGTTTTAAAAGGTCTGGCCTGGCCTGATGGAGAATAAAGACAAAGTGGAACAAAGTTAAGCTGTCTCAACTGAAGAGGTGCCATCCAAGACCACTAAAAACTAGCGGATATGAAAGTCAGTCACCCTAATTTGTCACAATTTCAGCCAACCATGATGGAACAGCTTCCTGTCCAATACTCCAAATCATGTCATTAAGTTTTGGGGTGATTTGTTATTTAGCTAACTAACATGCCATGTAGAAGAGAATTTTAAAGAATTAAATAACATATGCTTTTCTTTGTAACTAGGCTTATTTAAGAACTGGGCTATCAGTCAGCCAAAATTTAGAAATACAAATTTTTGTGGGTATCTGTGACCAAAAATGATATTTTTTGTGTCATGAAATATATTCTAATTTGTAATTAGTCTAAGTAGACTTTAGCAAAGTTGTTCTGCATTACTATTACTAAAGCACAGGTTTGAATGTTTTCCGGTGACAATATTTCATCTTAATGTTAACTGTCATTCAGATGGGAAGGACTTAGAAGTTTAAGGTACATACTATTTGGGCTCATTTAATGCAAAAAAGCAATATGTCATGGTATACAGAAAAACTGTGTACTGATCTTACTCCTAATATTCTACTGGTGTTAATACTGATATTCTAAATAATGATGGTTTTCATTCATCTGTTCATACCAAGTAGATGGATTTGTGAGTTTACATAAGTTCATAAATGTTCTGATGGAAAATATATGTATAAAATTAGATATAAACTCATAGCTTCACTAGCATTGATCAGTTAGTTCTGACAATTAGTGTTATGGAGCTGAGGACAGAATGTATATGTTTAACAGTTTCTGTTTTTTGTCTCTCAAATCAAAAGTTATTTTATTTTTTTATTTTTTTTTTTGCTCTAGTCATTTTTCTTTCTTTTTTTTTTTTTTTACATTTTCAACAAATAATACACTGCATATATTATTCTTAGTGGTTAATTGCTGTACAAGATGC